GGTGGGACATTGTCCTCCCTATAATTATCATGTGTACAATTTGTTAGTGAACTAAATATACTAAATGTATTATTAGTGGGTCATTATTTCACCAAACTTTACTCATTTCTACAAATGGTGTTCACATTCAGCTAATGCCTTCTAAAATCAATTAGAATTGGAAAGTATTAACTACAGTCATCAATAATTAAAGTCGTGATTTGTACATGCAACCTAAGACTGTGGTAATAAAAAAGAAAGAATAATTTAAGGACTAACACATTTATTACAAAACTGTAAAAACCTATGCCATAATTAACTAGTTAGTCTTTTGCTGGTTTCTAAAACATTTTCAAATCTTACAAATACAACACTTAGGTGGTTGGGCATTATTTACTTTTAGAATTATATTCTATATTTAAAACCACACAGTAATTATATAATTTATAAAATAAATTATATACATTTAAATAAAACAGAATCTAGAAGAATAAATGGTAGAAGGGAGAGTGTTTGTGTGTTTTAGGGAGACAGAGAGAGAAAAAACCAAGATAACTCAAGTTCCTATTGAAAACTTGTAGAAATTTACTTTCACACTCTTCAATGACCAAGTTCATTTAGATGAAAAACTTACCTTATATATTTGAGGAATGACAATATAGAAATGTTTGTGCTGTTCACCATTGAAATTTTGGAGCTGTGCAGCATATTCATTTTTATTTTCATCAGCCATATGTGTACGCAGGTTTAGTTGCTGCTTTGCCTAAACAACGGGGACAGGTTAATAACAGTTTTAAATTATTTTTAAAAGAAATTCTTACTCAGCAGCATACTCATTATCTTTAATTACCAATGACATCTTAGTGTCTAATATATCCTCTCATTAACATTTGTAAAATATAGAAACTGTTTCTCAACTATGAATTTAACCTCTCTCTCTATATATAAAAAGCTTTTGATTTTAACAGGTAGTTGTTTCAAATCATGTCATTGTTTTAGTGGTACTTTCAACTAATGCATTTACAAAGTAAACTAAACAGGAAAGACTACCTTGCTGGAGCATTTGCAGCAAGCCAAACGATCAGCAAAACGACAAAAAAATATATTGCGATGTCTTAACACAAGTTTTGCTCCTTAGGTAATGCAAGTACAAAAAAAGCAAAGTAAGCTTTATGACGAATGGTTTATTAAGTGATCCTCTCTGTCCATCTGCAGAAGCTTATGCTGACTTACCAAGGAAACAACCTTGCACAAATCCACTAGTATTATGAGAAAATAGTCACAACAATATTAATTTTGTATCTATCTGTGGATAAATACAAAAAAAGGGGAGAAATCCCACCAACACAAGCAGAAAAGCATATTCCTGCAACAGAACTGACTCCTGTTGTAATGAGTTTTATAAGGCAAAATAGTTTTCTTTTGGGAATAAAGAATAAGAATAAATTATGGTATTAAAAATCACTAACTGTAAATCTAATGAGAAACATGATGTTTTAATGTATAAAAACAAACACTACAGACATGTAATGAGAGGTAGCAAACTTAGATAAAAATCGCAAATGCTTAAGACCTTTTATTAAAAATGCTGTTCTTAAAAATGCTGCACCTTTACTTATAGCTTTTATTCAATTACAATAAAATGTCCTATATACAAAACTATACAAGTAAATAAGACATTGGATGAAGTTTTTTAACATTATTTTAATATTTTAAAATATTAAATATTTATATTGAGTGTTGTCCATAGTATTTTTGTATTTAAAATAAAATTAAAGATTAAAAAAATATTTAAGTAAGGAAGTTTCAGGGACATGATTAAGCAAAGGCCTGCTGTGAAATCTGAAACAGCAAACTGGTTTAGATAAATATTCAGTAGACTAATTGTGGCCTTCAATCTTCATGTGGAATATTTGCCCAAGTCACATTTTATTGCTTTGGATTTATAAGCACAATCTGCAGCTCGATCCATGAGAAAACAAGAAAGCTCAAGAGTGGCTCAAGCACAGGACTATGAAAGTTGCATTTAAAATGTTTTGTG